GGCGGCCGGCGCGGGCTGCCTGCCCGGGCCCGGCCCCGGCCCCGGCTCCGCTCCGCCGCTCGCCATGCGGCCGCCGCTCGCCATGCGGCCGGCGAGCTGCCGCATCCGCGCGCATCGGCGGGGAGGAGGGCGGGCGGGCGGCGTTTTGGGCGGAATCCGGGGCTCGGCGCGTGGGCTCGGCCGCGCCTTGGCCGCGCGGGCGGCGGGTGAAACCTGCCCGCCCGCGGGGTCCCCCCTGCCCGCCCGCGGGGAGAATTCGGGGTGACCGGGGAGCCCTAGATGGCACCGCGTGGAGCCGGTGTTGGTGCCGCCCCAAGGCCCAGGTCGGCACCTCGGAGCGCGCTTGGAAGCTCTGCTGGGTGCAGGGCACCCCAGCCCCAGTGTGGGGGTCCCACAGGACCCAGCGACTTCCCTGGCTTGTCCRCACACTGTGCCCGTTTGCCAAGCAGGTGGATGGATGGATGAACTGATGGATGGACAACTGGATGGATGTATGGATTCATGGAGAGCTCTATGAAAGTGTTGAAAGAGTGGTCAGTGCTTCTGCTGACATGATGTTGCTTTGCTAGAGTGTATCCAACGTGCGATACTGAACAGCTTATCCTAGTTATGCTTTATAAAATGTGCAGGCAGCAGTGGTGTACCTGAAGGTGAGCTGAAACCTCAGTTTGTGGCATGGATGAGGGTAGCTTATCATATCCACAGGAAATTGGGTTTTACCTTGGGATAGTAAAGCCTGCTAGCCGCTTGATAAGCTTTCTTGATAGCTCAGTGTGTTCAAATACACTCGATATTCACAAAGTATGTGTGCTGTCCTAGGTACCCTCTCTTGCTTATTGCATTGGGGCATTTTGTCCTCCTGACTTGTGTGTGGGAAATGTCCTGTTTGCCACAGCTGTTTCCCACTAAAATGTGCTGCTGATAACATCAGGATTCCATAAAACCTTGCAAGTTTCCCTGCTTGAGCAAGGGGCTTGGTCTAGATGATCTCCAGAGGTCCCTTCCATGCGCATCCCTTGTATGATTCCATGTGATTTCCACAGCAGGTTCAACGTTTGGGGATAGCTCACCAGCTTCAGGATGTGCGGCATCTGGGCCCTGTTCGGGAGCGACGAGTGCCTCTCGGTGCAGTGCCTGAGCGCCATGAAGATCGCGCACCGGGGGCCCGACGCCTTCCGCTTCGAGAACGTCAACGGCTTCACCAACTGCTGCTTCGGCTTCCACCGCCTGGCCGTCGTCGACCAGCTCTACGGCATGCAGCCCATCCGCATCAAGAAGTTTCCCTATCTCTGGCTCTGCTACAATGGGGAAATCTACAACTTCAAACAGGTGCTTGTCCAAGCAGGTGTCACACGGGGGGTCATGCCGCTGGCTGGCCAGGGTGTTGTATGGGCCACACTGCTTTTTGTCTTAAAACCAGTGAGTGTTTAGAAGTGGTTTAAAACATGGGCAAGAATACCAGAAAAATTACAATAATTTAAAAAATGAGGTCATCAAATATTTAATATTTAAAAGCAATAAAGGGGACTTGCACGCTCAGCCTTTCAATAATTCAAGAACTTTTTAATTGACAAGAAGGAAATTCTTTTTCATAGCTTTAGGTTTCCAGTAGGCCGCAAAAATATTTAGGGGTCTTCAGCTTAAGGCAGATGCTAGGTGGGATTTTTCAGAGACACCTAAGCAAATCTCTGGCAGGGGGAGACATTCATCAGCTCAGTGCTTAATTCCTCAAGTGCCTAAATGTCCCTGACAGGAGGTGTGATTGCTGCTGTTGCTCACCATCGTCTGTGCCTTAGTTCCAATGCTCAGATTATCTGCTCTGCCTATGCCAGCCTCATAGGGGAAGTGATTCAGAGCATTTGTGCTTGGGGTGTAAAGTATCTGCTTTATACTCACAACTGGTTCTGAATCATGCTGAAATAAATGCTTAAAATGGATCATAAATTGAGCAGCAGAGTTAGTTAGTTAGAGAGATAGGAATAATTTCAAATGACTCAGGATTTCTGTTSTTTGRGATTTTTGAAGTCCASTTTATGTTGATGCCTTTAGGGATTTGACTGAAATGGGAAGTAATAMTTTTTTTTTWCCTCCTTCCAAATCTGTCTGTCTGGAAGGTAAGATGTCCTGGAAGACAAAGTGCATGTGAAAACATAGCAGCAGTCTATGTCTTGCTGTGCTTTGCCTTTTCTGCTGATGAAAGCAGCCGAGATTAWTCTCAGTCATGCCACTGGCTGAATCTTATGTGAAATTCCTGCAAAACTTTCATTACGGTCGGCAGAAACTTACTCACTTTCATTGTGTTATGTCCCTTCCTGCTTTGCGTAGGGGTTGTACTGTCATGTTTTCAGCTACGAATAGGTGACTGAAACCTACCGAGGAAAGAACCACTGCTTTTCTTTTTTTTGAATACTTATTTTGTTTAGGGCAATGACTTCTTAGCTCAGTTTGGGCCACCACTTTRTCCATAAATAAAAGTTAAACCAAAGAAGAGCAGTTTAAAATGTGAAAGCACTGGTTAGSTGGTTCTTCGATTTTTAGTGTTTTATTCCTGCTTCTCCCTGCCATGCCCTGGCCTCCAGTGTCCATTTGCACAGGCRGAGTAAGGAAGTTCATTAGAGGACTGGAGGAGGGTAAATTCAACGTGAGTGAAAAAGCAGTGCAGAGTTGCAGCATTTATTCCTGAAGTCGTCCAGAGACACATGTACTCCGGAGACACATGACCAGTGTTAAATGTCTAGTGTGGGAGGGATTGGTTTGATTGTTTTTAAGTAATTATCACTATCACTATCCAATAAAGTGTCACTGAGAGATTTGGGACTGCAAAAAAATGATGTAACAGGTTCTGGGCCTGTTTTGTGGTGATGGGCAGGGTTTCTACAGCAGTGGCTGCCTGCCTTGGCCGTTTGCCTGTTGGAGATGGGGAGGTCAGTGTCTCTGAAGATCAGGATCTTGTCTTTGCAGTTTCACATGCCCAAATAGAAAAGTATCCTGAAATCTTTCTCTGCCAAGAATTGCTGAAGACCATGGCGTAAATCTGCATTGCTTGAGAGGAGATCCTGAGTAATATTTTGAATACAGCAGCATCACTTTCACCCTCTACTGAAATGTATACATAACTTAACATAAAAGTAACTTGCATTTTCATATTAGGCAAGAAGCAAGTATGACTGTTATTTTTTCTTTTTTAATTGATAAACAAGGTTTGCAAATKCTTATTTGTGTTTTCTGTTATGTATTTTCTTAGCTGCAGAAGCAATTTGGATTTGAATATCAGACATTAGTGGATGGTGAGGTTATCCTTCATCTTTACAACAGAGGAGGAATAGAGCAAACAGCTTGCATGCTGGACGGTGTGTTTGCTTTCATCCTTCTGGACACAGCAAACCGAAAAGTTTATCTGGCAAGAGATACATACGGGGTCAGACCACTCTTCAAGGTGCTGACTGATGATGGATTTTTGGGTGTCTGTTCTGAGGCAAAAGGTAAGACCRGTTGTGCTTAGTGCCTAAATAATCTTAGGCAGTATTGCTGGAGAAAGACTTTTTTGTTGTGCTGTCCTTCTAAGCATGAAGAGAAAGTGAACTTTACTTCAGTAATAAATGAACCTTATTTAATGGTATAAAGTAAAGCAGTACATCATTAAAACAGAAACTCCCCAAGGTGGGGGGTAAGTTTCTGAAGATGTCCTGTGGTAAAGTTGACATGCCTATATTATTTCATTTTGTAATTCTTTTTATTCTGGTATCATAACAGTATTGAACCCAAAGTTTTTAACTCCGAAGCTGAATGTAGTGTATTGAGTGAGACTATGTCATGGTAAATCAGGTTAGAATTTGTTATTGGAATTTTATGGTGAACATGGAAATAATGCCATAAGARATAATGCCATAAGAAATAATGCCATAAGAATCTTAAAAACAGAAGGGAACAAAAGTTTCCTAAAAGGAACCCTCTGTCATAAGAATTACAGAGGCACCATTGCCCTTGTAAAGCTAAGTGATTAACTTTTCTGTGGAGTTACTCGAGTGGCATCTGAGTGGCCCAATGGTGCAAAAACTTTTTTTTTTTTTCTTTTTGTTTCTTTTCACCTCAGAAGTAGAATGGAAATGAGTTATGGTCCTAAGTCTGATTCCTAGTCTTCATTAGAAGCAGTGTGGATCAATCTGGAATCATTGAGTTATGAAATCACTAATTTAATGTCAATCACTTTAGCTTTTTGTCCCCAAGTTTTCCAAAGGAAAGATTGTAGCTTCTCACATCTACAGAAGATTATCAGTTCAGAGAGCTACGGTGCGGCTGTGAGTCCATCCCTGCGTGCTGGGAAGATGGGACTTCCAGGCCCTCACTTGTCGTCAGGGTTGTCTTCCACTGCTGAGCTGCTTTCTCATTGCAGCAGGATTTTATTGTCCCATTCTGAGTCTCTGCATCTCACTGGACTGCACAGAGGGGCCTAATGTTTTGTTCCAGCCTCCAAATATCTGAAAGCCAAGTGCTGCATTATCTGTATTCCCAAATACACCAGCACTGATGCCTCAACTGACAGTTAAATTTACACCAAAACTTATGTTCTATAGAAAATAGTTGTATGTGGGTTTGGTACAGGGGCTGTTGGGTGAGGTATGATTCAACCATCCTAGATTAAAAATTCTGTTTCTTTTGTTTTATTATCTCTGTAGGACTTACCAACTTAAAGCATTCAACATCCTTCTTTCCTAAAGTGGAACCGTTTCTTCCGGGTCATTATGAAGTGCTGGATCTGAAGCCCTCTGGCAAGGTTGCGTCAGTAGAACTAGTAAAATTTCATAGTTATAAAGATGAACCACTCCATGCAGCTTATGATACAGTGGAAAATCTTCCTTCAGGTAGTACAGCAAAACAATTGCTATTGCTTTTATTGTTTTAAATTATGATTTTATTGTTCTAAATTGCTTTTATCAGAATAAAGTGGAAGAATGATAATCTTTGAATATGAAAATTGCTTAGATTAAAAAGAAGTACTTTTAAAATCTGAAAGAATCTTTATGAAATAGGAGCTTAATACTAGAAAATTCGCCTTGTAGGGTAGTCATATCGAAAGGTGCTTGAACCTGTGTATCCTCATAGTTAAAAGAAATGCAGACTGGGTTTTTTTTGGTTGTTGTTTGTTTTTTCCTAAGTTTCCTAACTTTTTGTTTGGTTGGTTTCCTGAACAGGTTTTGATCTTGAGACAGTGAAAAGCAACATCCGTATTCTGTTTGAAAATGCTGTTAGGAAGCGCCTGATGGCTCACAGGAGGATTGGCTGCCTTTTGTCAGGTAAGCAGCAAGAGCTGTGAAGGTTGTGTGTCTTCTCTCTCCTYCCTCACCCCTTCTACCAATTAGCTGTAAGACCTGGCTGCTCTGCTGCAGCGTGCCTGAAGTGATGTGAATCTTCATTTGCTTTCTTAGTTACAAAGAGGTCGTTCGTTTTTCATCAAGTTGTTTAGTTTACAAATATTTGGACTTTAAAATGATCTCTGGGCCAGGATGTTGAATTGTTGAGATACCATTTTAAACTAAAAAGAAAGCAATCTAATACTCCTTTGAGAAATCACTTTCTGTATTCTTAAATATATAAAACTGATACTTAGGCTAGTATCTAGAGGGAAAACCTGTTACATTCACTTTGCACTGAGTCTAGAGGAAAGCCTTGACATGTTTCAGATAGCAGGAGGAACTGAAGTTCTTAATTRTCACCTTTTATGCTTTAGCCTCCTTCCTGGGGTGCCCTTAATTTACCAAATTACAGAGGAGCAACTGGACCAAAATTACTTGTTACACTGTTTTTCCAGGTGAGGTAATAGTTTGTGGTACAGAAAGTTGTTCACTGACGTAGCTCATCGATACCGTGATGGCATGGCACGMTGCTACACAAGTACCTTAAAGAGATAAGGCTTTGTAGCCAAGAGAGCAACATTGTTCTTACTGTTTTCTTTTTTTAACACTTTATAGTTGTAGTCAGAGTTCTGATCGTGCATGCACTGAATGTGAATGATGACACTAATTTACTGTGCACCCAATTAGCTGTGAGTTCAGACGAGAGCATGAACAAGATGCAACCATTAGGTCCTTATCTTAGGCTGGCTTTATTAAAAAGTGGGAGGGAGGTAAATGAAAYGGAAACATGTTTCAGATAACAAATTGGAGAGGGTCAGAAGCTCCTCAGACCCACATACCTACACTGTATATGCAGACCATATATACAGACTGCAGGAAATGAAGAGTTTTAGATTGTTAGAGCAGGAGGGAAGCACGGGAGAACAGGTATCATCCCTTGCTGTACATGAAAGTGGAGCAGCAGGTTGAAATAGGCAGGGATTGGCAGAACWAGTTAATCAGGGTAAGAAGCTAGAGCCTCAGAATATAACTGGGCACCTTGGATTTGTCTTGGGATTTCTTTGTTTTCCGAACTTCTCTAATCCCTCCTCTCATCCTCCTTTGGAAAGGAAGAGGAATGAATGTCACTAGGGACCCTTTTCACTTGGACATGATATTTCAAAAATAAATTTCACTTGAAATGTTAAATCCACCTTTGAAAAATGACCAAGGAGGGGTGGAATCCTTACRCTAAATATTTTGTTCTTTGCTGTTTTGCAGTTGCTGAACTGTGGCATCATTCTCTTTGATCTGAACAGCAAATCAAAAATAATTGTTGCATATTTCTGTTACGAGTTTATCAAATGTGTTGGTATAAGGAGGATGGAGAGAGAAGCTTTGAAATACGGAGAATAAATCCCGCTATAGCAGATTTGGGAAAGAGCATGTTCTATAATGGCACAATAATTTCAAAGCAACCTTTTATCTTAAAGCAAGATTTCTTTTAATGTTTCTGACATCAAAAGTATCAGTAACTGCTACTAATGATGTTCTAAGGCCACTTTATTAAGCAAAGGTAAATGTGCACTTGCAGAAAGAATGTTTGGTTTGGATACCTTGAAATGGAGACACATACATAAGATTCCAATATTCAGAGACAGTGTTTTTAAACTGTGTAATTCTGTGAAGCCAAACACCTAAAAATCATTTGTTTGCTTGAAGGGGGCTTGGATTCCAGCTTGGTTGCAGCTGTTCTTCTGAAACTGATGAAAGAAATGAACGTCAGTTACCCATTGCAGACCTTCTCAATTGGAATGGAAAACAGCCCTGACGTACTGGCTGCCAGAAAGGTACAGAAACTTGTTTTCAGGTTATCTAGCACTCTCCAACTCCAAACAGTACTCATATATTAACTGTGCTAACCTCATCATTATGCTATTAATTGTAATACTAATTATTAGCCATTTATTTTGTGTCATAAATCAGTTTGCAGCTCACCAGTTAGTACTTCATTTGCTGCTTAGTTAAAATCTTAAAGAACAACCTCGCCCTYGTTACTTTTTTGCCTCTCTTGCACTTGGAAGGTTTTTGTGTGACAGACTCCCCCATGTTGCTATCAAAAGAAGTGTATTTCAGAGCAGTCTTGGTTCTATCTCTTGAATACTAGAGTAAATCACCAGGACTTATATATTCAGTATGTCAAGTTATGTTTATATACTCGCATTTGTGTATTTGTTAATTACAGCAATTTAATAAGACCCTTATACAGGCGTAGTTATCTTCTTGAGYACATGCTTGGATATTTAGGCTGGCRTGACTTTTMAGCTGCATTTCCCTTTGTAGCAAACACCAGACATGCTTAGAGCTGCTGCAGACTGTTACGCTCTGGACACTCACCTGGACGAGCTGCTTCAGCCACGGCTGAACATGGTGTCRTTGGGAAAACTCTGTTCCCTTGGGTGGAAGAACCACTGCGAGTCACAGGGGCTGCCACTCAGCCTCACATTGTGTAATTCTCAGTGTTTGCAGCAGAAGGGAGCGGATTCTTGCCCATAGTGTGTGGATTTAAAGACTGTTTGAATTAAAAGCTAATGTATTATCAWAACCTTTCACAAACAGGTGGCAACTCATATAGGCAGTGAGCATCATGAAGTCATATTTAATTCTGAAGAAGGAATTCAGGCGATAGAGGACGTTATCTTCTCCTTGGAAACATATGATATAACAACAATAAGAGCTTCAGTTGGTAAGTTTTTTATTAATACCTTATTTTATATTATGTCTATATATTTTTATGCAAAATTGTGTAGTTGTCTCCTACATCTTCTTAACAGTGGGACTTGGAAACTGGGACACCCAAGTTCTGTTCCCCGTTCTTGTGTCTAATACCACATTGAAACGAAAACTATTTTTAGTTTCAAAGTTGCTGAAAAMAAGTATCATGAGCTCTTCATGAAGCTTTGGGCTGAAAAACAAACATAGGAAAAAATGAACAGTAGAAAAAGCAGTCTAGGTTTTCTGGCTTGGGGTGTATGAATCTTGGAGGAAAGGGGGAATTTATTACAGGATATTAGAGGTGCTCAATGTTACTACAGGAGAAACCGCTATGGTTACCGTATTTCTTGCATTATTCTAGTATTAAGTGATGTATTTCTCTTTATCTTCCAATAACTCATGTATGCCCAAGTGAAATGGGCAATTTATACTGTAGATTGGATTCTGAGAAGTGAAATAAGTCACTAGTAGCTTCTTATAAAGGGCTGCCAGCCTGATAAGAATGAGAAACCCTAATCTAAGGTGACCTTCTGTACGGTGCAGACTACAGCATTTTGCCTAGTTTCTCTGTGTCAGCCCAAAACACTGCAAGCAAGTTAGTCTACTCAATAGGCAAGACATTTTTGAAAAGACTAGCACAGATCCCTGGGTAGAATTTGACATTAAGATAGGACTTTGTAATGAAAAATATTGGTAATGTTTGCTTAAAAAAATAAGCTTACAAGCTTTCCAGCTATCTTCTCTATTTTTCTTTTCCTGTATGTTTTTGTTGCTTAGTATGAAGCATGGTGAAACAGATCCCTTAAAAAAGATTGCTAATAGTTTGTTAATACAACATACTGTTTGGAAGGAGGTAAAGAGGAGAAGAGCTAATTYTGATTACCAAATAAATGTAAAATACAAAGAAAAATCTGGAAAAAAAAGTACCTCACCTGGCTCATTATGCAGTGGCAGGGAGTTAAACAGCAACTTTGTTGGTATTTTTGTTCCCCATAGCTGGAAGGTTTGTTCAGAACTCTTTGGGTACTAGGCAGATGCTTAAGTTGTATGTGAGTCAAAAAAGAACTCAAACCCTCTTAGATATGTTTACATAGGAATCCTCTAGCATTCCCAGGATCCAGGACACACATGGCTTTCTCTTATTTTGGTGCCTAAGTATAAGTGCACAGTTTGCAGGTATTTGCAGTACTTAGTTTGTAAGCCTGGTGATGGTTTTGAATAACAGAGCTTATTTTAGGTTAGTGCAGTTTGCTATGCCAGGAAGTAGGGTAGGAAAGAAAACTTGACAATGCTGAATCCACACTGTACAGGCTTTATATAAAATCATGCGTATAACTGTATTTTAGTGACCTCATACTTCTTTTTTTCAAGGTATGTACCTGGTCTCCAAATATATACGCAAGAAGACGGATAGTGTGGTCATTTTTTCAGGGGAAGGCTCAGATGAGCTGACACAAGGATATATCTATTTCCATAAGGTAAATATGCTTGTACAGCACCCACTCCTTGTTTTTCTCTTCAACACAATCTGCYAAGATTTCTAGATGGGAAATTTCAGAGTTGACAGCTGTATACTTGCTGATGCATTGTCCTGAGCCAGCGTAAAATATGAGGGAATTGGTGTAATCACCTCATACTTAGGGTCTGTTGTTGCTGTTATGAGTGTTGTTTACCAGTTCCAAGGGCACTTAGTTCCTACTTAAGCTCCTGAAAATGAACATGGTCAAAAGTGACTTCTAGAAACTCGCAGTAGAGAGTGATTGTATTTGCCAAGGCAGGTGAACAGCTCATACCTTGCATTGTGTCTGGAAGAATTTTGTGTGCTTACGTAAGCAGGTGGCAGGGAGCCTCCCACTAATCTGGTTGCATGTATTTTCCTCAACTCCAGGACTCAGGAGGCATGCTTAGGTTTGTCACAGATGCCTGTGTAGTGCTCATTACAGCTTCATATGCAGGATAGCAAGCAGCTGTGCATTAACCTGTGTGCTGCATGTCTCGTTACAGGCACCCTGTCCTGAAGACGCTGCGGAGGAAAGCGAGAGGCTGCTGAAGGAGCTCTACCTATTTGATGTGCTGCGTGCAGACAGGACTACTGCAGCCCATGGGTAAAATGCAGTCTTTTGGATGCTTAGGTCATGTGTGTTTAAAGAGCYTTAAATGGATCTTAAAAGCCCTGCTGCCATTCAGGAAATTACAACATATCAGAATACTGTGATGCAGGATAATTTYATACCTACTGGCTAGGCCTAGATGATTCTAGGAGGACCATTAGTCTTTAGTACTGGTAATTGGGGTGGACCTCATGTTGTGCTTGAGCTTGATATCTAATAGAGCTTGAGACACCACCCACTATGACAAAACAGCTAATGCTACAGATACACACTGGTGTTCAGCACTGTGGGTGTGAGGCAGAGTGTAAGAGTCTACAGGACACACAGATCTGGTCTTGAGAGTGATCATCAATCACATTTCTGCTCTCAACTTTGCTAGACAAAGCTGCTAGAGAAACTGGTACAGGCAATATCAAAGAAAATGCTTTAGCAGATGAGCAGAGACAGTATATTTGGGTGCCATTTCTTAGCAGTAAGGTGGAGCAGGAATGAGGATTTTCCCTTTTTCCCTTTTTCGAACACACGAGCAAATGTAGGTGTCAGAAGTGACAGCAGCCTGACCTGTAACATCTTTCTGAAAGCTGATGCAAATCCCAGTGGGCAGCTTGCAGATTTTTGGTAGTTCTCTGGGGATAACAGCATTTTTCGATATCTTTATGTGAAGCAACAGATGTTGCAAGTTGTGCAAAATGACTGTGGTGTTTCAATTCATTATATAATAAGTTGTCCAGCAGATGGCATCATAAATCATTTGTGATTTTCTGTTAATAAATCCACCACAGACTATATATTTGACTAAAAGGTTGAATTAATTGGAGATGGTTTGGATATTTAAGCTAAACCTTAGAGTAAAATCAGAAAGCCATATATTATGTGAAAGACAGGAAAATGTAAATGTTACAGGATTTAAAGTGCTCGGCTTGCTGATTTAGTTCAATGTATCTTCTGTTCTTTTTCCCTGTGTAGTCTTGAGCTGAGAGTCCCATTCTTGGATCACCGGTTTACTTCCTACTATTTGTCTCTACCAGCAGAAATGCGAATCCCAAAGGTAGGCAAGCCTAGGGTAGACTCAAAATACAAATTAACTGRTGACTATTGTAAACATTACCTAAATATTGAATTCAGTGCAAGTCCTTGCTTAGGACTAAGCATATGCCAAGTTATTTTGCTAAATTGTTGAATTCCTGGGCAATCTTTCCTGAACAGACTGCTGAAAGAAATCTCTTTCTTCATACAGTGTTGAAAGCAGTATCTCTGTATGATAGTTCTTAAGGCCCGTGACATTATTTGTTGTTTTCCAAACAGAACGGAATTGAAAAATATCTTTTAAGACAGTCCTTTGAGGATTCCAACTTGCTTCCCAAAGAAATACTGTGGAGACCCAAAGAAGCTTTCAGTGACGGCATAACATCTGTAAAGAAATCCTGGTTTTCTATTCTTCAGGACTATATCGATCAGCAGGTATAATATCCCAACCTTTTTGTTTTTCATATTCAGCTGTATTGAAATATTGCTTACAAAGAGGGACAGATCATATGCCTTGGGAAAATAAATCTGAGTATTGCCATAACTTGAGCTTGGTGGTGGCAGAGCAAGATGAATTTTAAACAACAGTTGTGCAGCTGTCCGAGCTGCTTGAAGGCGTTTGAAGTAGTAGATGCAAAGAAATATTAGAGCCTGACAGAAATCCCTGTGTAAGGAAATGAGCATCCTTTAAATATCTGATTGCCAATTAGATTCTGTGTGGGGAAGCACAATTGTTGGGTTACACACRAAGTGGCAGCTTCAGCTGAAGGCACTGGCATGAACCTTGTGGCTCAGTAGCAGTATGATGACTTTATTGTGTACTTATTTATTTCATTTATTTTTCCTAGCATTGTCTACTAAGCCCTTTTCCTAAAGCCTTTCTCGGCATGGTTAGCCAGTGGAAACATGTAGTGTTTTGGCTTTGAACAAGGGATAGTGATGCCCTGTGTGTGTAGAGGTAGCTGAATCACTGGGAGGCAGGAATAACACTCATTTCACGCCAGAGCAGCAGGGTTGTGGACAGGCTGCCCTGTCCTGCTAGCAACACGTTGTACCCAGCTCTCCTTCTCTGCCATACCCACAGGCAGGAGGGTAGTTGAGTCAGGCCACTGTGCTGCCCCTAATGATCCCACATATTAGTGGAGTAGCAATATCCCATATATTGGTGGAGGGCAAATTTGTTTCTTGGCTGTGGAAGGTTAGATCATGTGCTGGTGATAGAAGCTGCTTTAGAAATTACCTTAGCTAGTGAAACTTTCCATCCTTCCTTTCTTAGCCAACTTGTGTGTTTTACACCTGCATCCCCACGTCTGGTCATTAGGAGCTTGGTTATACCAGCAAAGGCAACGGCTCTCAGCTACCAAAACAGAACAAACACACAAGAAAGGAAACTACCTTCCTGGCAGAGGACTGCTACAAGGTTTTAGAAGTTGTGGGGTGTTTTGCTTTTTTTTTTTTTTTTTTTTAATATTTATTTAAGCCTGTGACCATTCAGTGTTGAATCGTTGTATGCTGAGATGACTTTGCAGCCTGATTTGAATTTTACTCATGTCTTTAGGTTGACGACCTCTCATTGGAAAAGGCAGCGGAGAAATACCCTTTCAATCCTCCTAAAACCAAAGAAAGTTATTACTACCGCCAGATCTTTGAGAAGCATTACCCAGGGCAAAGCAGCTGGCTGCCCCACTACTGGATGCCCAGGTGGATTAAAGCTACCGACCCTTCCGCCCGCACCCTGAAGCATTACAAGGCRGCTGCCCAGGAATAGGCCCTTGAAAGAATTCCCCAAAGGGAAGTGCTGCGAGCAGCTTGAATGCACTCTGCTTTGAAAGAAACATTAGATTCTGCAAACCTAAAGCTTTAAATGGTATTTAAGATGTGTTTTGACAATGCTTTTGGAAATAAGAGCTCTCTATGGCTAGTATACTACTGCAAAAAACGCCCTGCTGTCCCAAAATATTTGGGAAGTACTTCGGAAAATTCTCTATGGGCAAGGAACTTCATGACCTTGATTGTATTCACTTATCCTGTGGTCATTTAATATATTTTATTGTGAGCTCAGTTTTGAGAACTTGAATAAGGTTAAGTGATACAAACTGCTGTGGGCCCTCTCTGCAAAAGGAAATTGTGCCCTGTCTACTTAGTGCAATTGTGTACCTGGCTTTGGGATTCAGAGAGTCTGTCTCTATTATTCTTTTCCGAGTGTCTTTCTAATAATTCGTATGAACCTTGACCTCTTTTTCAGAAAGTATTTAGATGTGTGTGTATATAAAATTATGCAGAGGTGCTTACTAGAGGTTATAGTAGTGTTGGTGGTGCAAGGTGGTACCTATTTAAAGGTGGTACTTAATTTAATAATGAGAATCCTATTAATTACTATTACTGTAAAACCATCAGCTGGCTTTTTTTGCTATTTTAAATATATCCCTAATCTAAAAATATTGGGACTGTTACCAAAGAGGACCAGAACACACAGRAGAAGCCCAGTTATGTTTTTGTTAAAACTTTTAAATATGTGGTTTTGTTTTTTAAATATATTTATTATTCTTGAAAATGGAGTGTTAGTTGCTTGATTTGTGTTAGTCTGATGAAAATTTCATGACTAAATATTTTGATTTTTTTTAATTTATTATGAAGATAAGTGTTTCCACCTTTATGATGGAAAGATAGTTACTGTTCAGCTCCACACGGACAGCGTTGGTGCTGAAGAAGCATCATTAATCATACATTTTAGTCAGGCAAAGTGCCATTGAAGACAATGGCACTTGGACACCTATCTTGAAAGAATGAAAAAAAAGAGAATTCTTAAGAAACTGTAAGAATTTTTAATATCCTGGAGGAAAAAAGTAAAACCTTTCTACCCATRGCACTTTTTTATTAAATCATTAGGGGCAAAGGCTGCTTTTATTAGTGTACCTTAAACATGAGGGTGGTTTAAAAATATTCATAAATGCTGTAGATCTTACTGTCTTCCTGAAGATCATGATGTTAATCTAGTTTAATTTTCCTCTTGTCTTGGAAACTAAAGTCATTTGCTATTGCTATTTTAAAGGTAAAATATAAGCAACCCTGGTTAAAAATCTTCATAACATGAGTGATTGTCTATTTATTACTCTCTATGCTGCATTTGAATCTCTATTTCAGACATCGTATGGAAACCTTTTGGCGGTGTCCTGGGGCCTACAGTCTGACTGTGTGAGCTGTCTAGCTTCACTGGGGCTGTATTTTGACATAAACACAGCCACAGTAGTTACGTATASATAGGTGATAAAGGAAAGGTTATGTTCCTGCAGACTTCCTGACCTACAGGGCTATGCGCACCTGGCTGTAGGTTTTCTTAGAAGGACCAGGGTATGTTTTGATTAGAGGAGGAATAGTACCTCATAGGTACTGATGTGTAAAGCAAGGATTTACACTACACTATAAACTTCCCAAGATTTGGGTAATAAGAGGACAGCATTGACCTGAAATAAAAAGATGACCAGCAAATGAGTTGAGCCCTACTCTCCTGTGGGTTTTTTTTTTTTTCTGTAAAATTGCTTGCTTGCTGCTTTTTAGCCTTATTTCAGCAGTGGGAACCAGGCTGTTGGGGAAAATTATACTGTGGAAAAGCCAAATATTAAGTAACAGTCACCTTAATTTCTTTCTTAATTCCTGGTAATTTAAGTAGTGAGGCATGATCCTACACTTGCATTCTTAATGATTTTAGTTTTTTACTCATTTGTAGGGAGAAAATAATGTTTGCTGATTTATTTTTGTTAGAGGTAGGTACAGGTTAGGAGTGGAAACCGGTTTAGTCATTCCTCCACCACGTGTAGATTTGGCTTCAGCAGCCTTTATGACTTTGTGAAGCTCTGTGGCTCCTTTGTGAAGCTCTGAAGCTCCTTTTAACTTGTTTTGAGACCACAGCTACTTCACTTAGTCTGTGTAGTTTGTGGTAGGAGGAGATGGGCTGCAAGGGCAGTGTGTGAGGCTCTCCTCTGGTTTCCCTTCTTTCTTTATTCCTGCCCTGGCTACCTCGGAATGAAGCTGGGCTTCTTGGGCAGCCTGAGGAGCTTGGTTAAGAGCAGTGCATGTGCTTGTGCACATGTGTGTGGGGGCAGGCATGGGGAGGCTTAAAGCCTGGGGTGCCCCTGGAGGGAAATGGTAACTCCCTGGCTTGCAGAATTGCTGGAGGAGAAAGTGTAAGGCTCTTAAAAATGGATGAAATAGAACACTGTTTCACTTCTGCATTGATTGGATTTTTGGACTCTCTAGAAAATGTCATAGCAAATTGTAAAATCAGCCTATTTTACTTAAGAGAATATGGAGAGTGTCTGTGTGGAAGACCTTTAGGGTGAAAAGTCTGAGGATGAAGCTGTGCAGGGTGATGCGTATTTAGCTGCCCTCACCAAACTGAGGAAAGCTTCTGGAAAGCGACGTTATGGGCAGCAGTGCTTCAAAGCCTGCTCAGAAGGTAATTGCTCGGCTTTGAGTCTGAATGGAGTTACAGTATTCATTAATGTAGTTTGAGGGTTTTCCACTCCAAACTGATAGTGTTAAAAATAAAATAGTAGCAAGTAATTGTACTGAGGCTGCAGGGCTGGCCTCAGTCTTTTTGTTCAGACTCAAATGTAATGCATGACCTAGTAAATAGGAGCTGTGCAAGGGGAGATTAAAACAAGGTAAAACCAGTGTTTGACCTCRCTGTCGAGCGCTCCGGAAGGAGGGTGATGCTGAAATGCTGGAAAGCCTCCCCATTTCCAGCACAGAGTCARCTCTTACCTGCCCAATGCCTGTCCTAGGAGTTTCCTGTTTTGTTTGTGTATCAGGGCCTGCTGGTTTCATTTTCATGTGAATTAATACTCTGTGATTGGACTAGGTCTGTACTTGGCAGAGTCAGAAAAGCTGTGGTCTGTCTGTATTTCACATGTCCCTTTTCGTGGCCCCACCTAGCGTCTTTTCCCYGGAGGCTCCCAATTAACAGAGCCCCATACAGTGCAGCAGCTGATTTTTATGACACATTATTTTCATTTTTTTCATTTTTATGACACAGTATTTTCACTTTCAGAAGCTCAGAGCATCCGTGAGCTGCCAGGATAGCCAGGAAACTGAGGGACACTGGTCTCTCCCAGGTGCTGAGTGGTAGGAGAAGGTTTTCCAGGAGCTTCCTGGATCTGCCCATAGGCCTCAGACCCGTGTGTGGGGTGGCCTGTGGTGGGTGAGGAAGGAGAGAGCAGCAGCTGCCTTGGTGCTAGCAGGACAGGGCGAATCTCAGCCCAGATGTGGGGGTTTCTTTGAGGAACAGATTTTATTTTATTTTATTTTATTTTATTTTATTTTATTTTATTTTATTTTATTTTATTTTATTTTATTTTATTTTATTTTATTTTATGTCCAGCAGATGGCAGTCTATATTAACATGTCGGTTCAAGCAATTTTTTTTTTTTTTTTTATCAATAGGGAAGATTTCATTCCTTCCCTGTTTTCCTCGTGCTTTTCTCTTTCACACACCCTTGCCTTGGTTCCTGCAGGAGCTCTAGAGGGAATTTGCTAAATCCTAGGTTGGAAAGGGAGAGGGGAGATCTACGCAGGGAAAAAAAATATTTAACTAACCTTGCTTATATTTTGCAGAACTTCTGGTTTTCCTGCTGGAGGTGAGAGGGTGGCTGAGTTAAATGTTATCATTCAGGGTTACATTTGAAAATAATTTATATACAGCTATATTAAAGAGAAATATGAGTTAGAACAAACATAGAAAGGCAATCCTAAGGAATATAGGAGATAGYGCTAGGCTGTGGAATGAGAAGTGTTAATTTTATCTCTYTRTCTCTCAAAGTTGTTGATTTTTTTKCACTTTTGCCATCACCAYGCCATTAACACACATATTCTAGGATTTCATGTAGTTGTTTTGATATTTGACTGTGAATCCTAGAAGCAAGTTTTACAAACATGCATTAGGTAAGTTTGGGACCTTACCTGTCACCATCTCTCCCCCCCCCAAAAAAAAACCCCTTTTTTTTTAATGTATGTTATAAAATACAGTACATCATTTAAATATCAAAAGACTTCCTATTTCCACATATATTTTATAGGCTCTGTGTTTTGGTGAGTGACTCTAGACCTGTGAATTCAGAATCAACTGCTTTGTCAGGAAATATTTTACACCAAAAACCATCGTGATACAACGGCACTGGGTAGCTGGCTGTCTGACTTAGCAAGTGCAGCCTCTTCCCTGTTCCAGACTACCTCTGCAGCCAGGTCTTGTGCTACTTTTTGTGGCTGTTTTTGCTACAGAAGATGATTAATACATTTTCAGCCTGAAGAAGGTCAAGATATGAGTCCAAATTAGGCCTTTAGAGAATTTCTAACCCTGGATGTATAAAACTTGGAATTTACCTAAATTTCTGCTACGTACTTGTCTTGCAAGAGGCAAGAGGAGAGTCAAAATGTCCTGGTACTGTCAGGAATGCAAGCAGTCGTCTATATTAAGAAGCCATCCTATTTAACATCTCTCACCACTGTTCTTGAAGACTGCTCTTAACACCTGGCGCAAAATGTATATTAATACAAATTACTTTTGATTAAAACCATTATTATTTTAGCACAAAAAGGGAGGGGGTGGTAGCAAGGAATGTTCKCTTTTTAAATATTTAAATACTCATTATACCAAAGTGATACAAATTACTGGCTGACTGACAATTTGCTAATAATAGCGTAAAAATGCAAATAGAGCCATTATCACAATTGACACTAATTGGGAGTCTTTTGGCAGCCTCCAAGGGCAGGGCAGGAAGAGTTGATTGTTTCCTCAAGCTTAAATTGAGTTGTTAAAGAAGCTTTAGGAAGCTGTTCTGTGAATAAGCAGGCTACCATTGCATGGGCTGCTAACAGGACATCCATGGGCATCAAAATTTATGTTATTTTTTCCTGAAAGCTGGAAGCTCTGATTCCTGTCCTGCAGAGTCTGAGGGAGCTGGTGGATGCTCTGGGCTGCCACACCATGTGGACACGGCCTCGGCTTCCGTGGGCCCAAGTTGGTGCCACTGAACTCTGAGATTCAAACTCAATTCTCACAAAAATCTGGATGTCTTTTTTTTTTTTTTTTTTTTTTTTTTTTTTTTTTTTTTGGTGCCTGTAACCAACAAAGTCAGCTTTCCCAAACTACAGCAGATGTCTGGGAGTTCCAAGCCTTATTGGTCATAAATCAATAGCAGGTTGTTAATGCAGGAACTGATGAGGTAGATTGCAGAAAGGCCTCTCAGAGCCAAGGCTTCCTGTCCATCCCTGGTGTTTGCCGTGCGAGTCCGAGGTCAGTGCATCAGAAGTCATAGGTTACTTTCAAGATACAAGAGAACCTCCTAGATTGAGGTTAGAGGAGGCTGTTTTGACCCCCACACCCTGCTTTCCTCGGTAACACAGATTTGTTTTATTTCCATTAGTTCCTCCTTCGCTTCGCTTTGAGATCAGAGGTGCAACATGGGGCATCTGTGTGTTTCCATGTGGGCACCCTCAAGCTAYTCATTGGATTTCTCTGCTTCATTTACTTGCTTTCAGGCAGCCTCCTTCCTAGTGCCACCACCACACTTGGATGCATTGTACAAAGAAAAGCTTACTCACTGAAAAGTTAAATAACCAGTTGGTGATACCTAAGTGAAGGAGTTTAGGAGCCCCTATGGTAGTAAGATATGTCCTGATCAAATGAATGGGGCCTACCAAAATTTGGGGTCGAGGACAAGCTGTTATTCCTGACATCCTATCCATGGCTCTCTTCTCTCTAGCATTTGTTTAAATGACCTTTATCTCAAAGAAGGTTTGGATCCAAGTCAGCTGCGTCTCTGTGGGATGAATAGCAGAAAGGTGCCTTGCAAAGGCTACCTGCATTAGGCCATCTCTGTTGAAGTGAAACATCTGTCTAAAAATAGATGGTTGGGTAGAGGACTGAGACATGCTGTGAGCCTTGACAAC